ATGGGTTTTAACTTCTTGAACTTCATCAGGTGCTCTCGTCAAAATCACAATTTTAAACAAAAAATTTTTTTCCTCTGGAATAAAGCTAATTTGTGTTGTATTAGAATTTTTTGTTCAGCATTATAATATAACACAAGTTATCCAAAGTCCCCAATCAACCCTTTTGTCCATGATCCTTTTAACCATGCTTAGATGACAAGGTTATGTTGCTGTCACCATCACTGAAATTAAAGCATAGTTTCATGGCAGCAATGCTATGTTGAAACTTTTGTACCTATTCTGTGTACTTCTTTCATCAAAGATGTCCCTCATACCAGAGGTGAATGAGTTATTTGTCTATTAGAAATGTAATAATTGGGCAGATACTTGCTCATAAATGTTTCATGTCTTCGGCATAGCGCAGTTTTTATACTTTTTGCAGGTTATAAATTTTGCGGTGCAGCTGGATTGTTTATCGCAGATATCATAGATTGCAACTTTTCGTAGTCCATGCCATTGTCCTTCAGGCCTTAGAGTCTATAATTGATAATGACTTGGTTATCCAGTTGTTGATATGAACAATCTAACCACTCACAATCTAGTCATTGTTATGTTCATAGTATTTACTATTTTGTTTTGCAATCAGCTGTAAGTTATGGCTTCTGCAATTCGTCCATTCCACTGCAGACAGAAGAAAATTGGTAAAAGCTTTGAATTATGATCATTTCGAAATCAATGTTTAGCAGTCCCTCTGTAGAATTCTTGTCACTGAAGAATTAACTTTTGCTCGGCTCGGTAGAACTAATTGACTAATTGGGGGCTGGAATGGAATTAAAAAATTATATAAATATTATTTAGCAAATAATATATTGAAAATGATCTCAATAAGCCTATTAGTATTATTTAGATGTTTAGGATTGCTAAACTAAATACTTAGACTTATTTTATTATAATTACTATTATTAGTCAATTGAACTGATCTTATAAATAAGAAATAATATAAAACTAATTAGCTATTACTATTAATAATTGTATGCAGATAAAAAATGAATAAGGCTAAGATTAAACTATTTGAGTTAAAAGATTCTAATACGAATTATTTTGCCCATACTGCTAATGCTAATACCATAATTATAGTAGTATTACGGCATATTCCGTTGTTGTTGTTAGTCCTAGTCTTAGCCTATACTTTAAACTACTCGATTATTTATGTTGTTTTGTTAGACAACTATAAATAAATAGGCTTAGGATTCATATAATTTAACAATTCACTTGATTGGTAAATATAAAGACTAATAGTATAAACTTATGTAATTCTCCGCATAAGGCATAAGCTAAACATAAACTCACAAACAATCCACACGCACGATCAATCATCAAAATCAAGGCAACACAGTGACAGTACTGACGTCCAAACCGAATAATTTTAACTATCAGCGATTGCGTGTTGCTAAATTAAGGTCATTATTTTAGTATACTTACCTTGAATTTCTGGCTTTTACCGACTGGGTAAGGTTGTAAACGTGTATTTTAAAATCAAAATATGCTGATGCTTTCGTTTGCAAAATTTCGTTCTGTACACAGAACCATGCTCCGGTAAACACACATAAACAACGCGTTTGCGCATGCGCGAGTCAACGGTATCTTGGTTACCCTCCGTTTGGACCAATGAAAATCGGTAAAATAATTATATAAATAGAAGTGAAGAAAATCCTACACACACTTCGCTTGTGTATCCGATTATTTGTAGCAATTATATTTTCTGAATTCGATACTAAATATAAAAAAAAAAACTGTTTGAATTTACCTTTACGTTGATATATAATAATAGCATATTATGTTATTTAAAACTAGTTTTTTGAGGTCTCAAACATGGGATATGTATGAATTTTTTTTTATTTCCAAAATTAGGTCAATTTTTAGAGTGGGGTGGGGTGTTAAATATCAGTTGTTTCACAACAAATCTTTTAAAAAGTAGTCTCAAATGATATGTAATCGATTCTAAGAATGTTCATCTTCGTAAAAATGAAAAAATAAAAAAATTGACAATTTTTGAAAAATTGAGATATTTTAGGGCGCCTACAAAATGATATGAAAATATGGATGTAAAAATAATGCCGATAATACGATTTCAAACTTAACATACATAGGATCTGTATAGCCAATACAAAAACTGAAAATTAGATTGGTGTACAGAATAATTTGAACGTTAAATTAAAAAATATTTTTGAAAAAAAAAAAAAAAAAAAGACTCATACTCATGTTTGAATGATGAAAATTAGATTTACAGGTAAGGTACATACATTGAAGCAAACGTAAATGAAACTCATGCAAAGACAATATTCTATGTTAACAGTAGGATTTCAGTATTTTATTATTAAAAATCTTTTAAAAAATATAAATTTTAAAAGTCGTATATATAAAAATATTAGACGCAAATTCGTGTTCAAATTAAATACCATACTTTGTATATGAACTGTTTCACTCTAAATCGTCTCCCGATGAACCCCCACAACTAGGACAACTGGGTGTGAGATTCGTTGATTGAAGATATTTGCTTTCGTTACCTTGTTGGTGTTGAGCCTTTCATTGCAATTGTTTCACTGTAAAAGAATATCAATTCGACTTCAAATAATATTGTTTGAACCATGCTGATCTCTGATCTACCTCGTTGATATTAAAAAGTAGGCTCATTACTTGTTTATATTAAATATATTTTCGCCACGAGACTCCAAGCCCGACACGTGGTGGTCATTTTGGGATTCGGTTATCCTAGAACTTCATACCATAATCAAGATGGTGACGTAATAAGTAAGTTGGTTTTTTTTATCCCTTGTCACTGGTCAATCAGACAGCTAGAAAAACTTTAGGAATATTTAGGCTACCTTACTTTATAAAAAAATGTATTATTTTCTTTCCAGCACCGGCACTAGCCAAACATGCGTTAGAAATGGTAAGGTCAACAATGTTATCGTTTAATGGATGTTTTTGTACAGTATTAACCCCACTTCAATTTCCCAATCTGTTTTTATTGCGTTGTTAATATTACGAAGTTAAATGTTGAAATTTATTTTATACAATTGTCTTCAAACAAGATCAAATTAAAATTAGCGATTAAAACTCAAAAAAAAAAGAAAACTTAGATTAATTTCATGAGAGATAAATTCAAAGAAACAAATCAAAAGCTTTTATTTTCCTTAAATAACACCCGCGTGTGGCTAAAATTTTAAAGTATTCTCCTATTTAAAAAGTTAAAATTATGAAAAACAATCAATAGCTTTTTAAATTGTCAATAAACAACACTAAATTTTAGCTTCGCATTTTTAACATTTCAATTTAAAAGATTTTAGTTATATTTCATTCTATAAATGTGCATTTATCAAATTGATAAAGTAATGCCACTAAAGGATTCAAATTGTTTAAAATAAGCAATGTAATTAAATCCCGTAAGTCATTAAGTGCAATGAAAATGCATAACCAAATATCACTCACGAATTCACTGATCACTCATCAAAATAAGAACAAACCATATGAAGTTGCCATTGTTTCATTTTGTTAGATTCTATTCAATTAGGCTAAGTCCGTCAAACCAGAAAACAGGTTTAACCGATGCCACATTGCGCCGAACTCTGTAACGGTATGAATGAATTTCTGAACATTTCTATGTTCTCCCGATACACTTTAATATTTCTTGCTCACTAAAATTATCTTAAAATTTTATTTCACTAAAATATACTAATTTTTAATTCATAATTCCTATATATTGAAATATTACGGTTAGTCATTTTAACATTTAAAAAGACTTTACGCAATTTCAAATCTGTGACATAATTATTCTTTTGTAAAATATATCGGTTTAGAAGCCTAACATGCTGACCAATCACAAAATGATGTATCATTATTTTTTTTTTAAAAATATTACTTCCCTTCAAATACGATTTTAATTACATTAGATAGTACCAAAATATATTCAAAAAGTTGAAAAACAGAATTAATATTTAAACTATAGAGCGTTACGTAACAACATCTTTTTTCCAATTTTTCTTAGCTGACTAACCCTTATTTTAAGTCCGTAGTTCTGAAAGCATGGTGTCTAAGTAAAGCAATCTTTTTGTATCTTAAAAGAGATGTGTATTATACAATTTTGGGGTGGGGGGGGGGGATAATTAGCCGTGGTTAAAAAAAAAAAGGATAATTAGCCCTGGTTAAAAAAAAAAAACGAATTAATCTCATTCTGAATATTCCCGATGGGACGAGTCCGTTTCTATTTACCTGACAGGACGGCGTTTACTCTATCATTTACACTTATACATTTCTAAGAAGTTATATCCAAAACGGTAACTTTGAAACGAAACGCATTAGTTTTTTTACAACGTATTGTAATCTACTAACATATGAAACCCAACTCAGTTTTGTTAAAACGTTGTGTTTTTTTTTAAATTCCTGGCCTTACTTAAATAATTATTGTTCGTTTCTGTAAAATATTAACAAAAAAGAAGTGGCAAACAAACAATTGCTTTTTTTTTTTTTTTAGAATACCCGATATTATTTTTTTGTTCATTTGATTACAGTATGAAAACTATTGTTTGTGTTTAGCTTTATTTTTTTAAAACAATGAACAAAAATTCTTTAGAAATAGTATATGTAAAGAGATATTACGTATTATTCACTGATTTTTGTGTGTGTGGAATATAGAATTAAATCTTAATTTCCTCTTGTAATTTTATATTAACTCTTCCAGAAAATATCTGTAAAATTTGATAATTTCCAAAGAAAAGAAAACCAAGATGTTAACCAAACCGGAAATAGCCTGTGCCATCATTGAAGGTATATCATCTGTGAGAGAAGATGAAGAACTCCAGGATTTCGTTGTTGAAGTTGAAGGCACTGAATTTAAATGTCATCGTCTGATAATAAGCGCGTGTTCTGGATTTTTCCGTGGTCTTCTCAGGTCTGGGATGAAAGAGTCGCAGAAACAAAGAACAAAGCTTGAGGCCGTCTCCATGGAAACATTCGCCTCAATTTTAGAAACGCTCTACACCGGATGTGATAATCTGACACGTGACAACGTGCTAAATGTATGGCTGGCTGCAGATCAACTTCAAATAACATTTATTTTTAATAATTGTGTAGATTTTATAACAAACAACATTTCGAAAGATAACGTCATCGAAGTTTGGGAAGCAGCGTCTCAATTAGTGCACACAAACATTATAGGGCTTTGTGAAAAGTTTCTTATTGACCATACATCTGTGGAAAATTGGAATATTATATATGAGACAGCGAACAAATTAGGCTCAGATTTGATTTTGTCACATGTTCGAGATTTCGTCACGAAAAATTATGAAAAATTCATCAATACTGACACATTTCTGTGTCTTCGGGAAACATATTTACTTGACATAATAAAAAGTCAAGATCTGGTTGTATCTACTGAAGATATTGTCGTCGAGTCTATTTTAAAGTGGGTTAACAATGGAAGTCTAAATAAATCTGTAACTATGGCTGGAGATAGGAATGAGAACTCGGGCAGTTTTTTCACTGGCGAAGAAGAAGAAGAGAAAGGAGAAGAAAACAGACAAGAAGAAAAAGTAGTGAAAGAAGAAGAAGGAGATAAAGATGAAAAAAAAGAAAATGTGGAAATCATTGCATTCAAACCAAAATATTCAAAGGAATATCGCATGAAATGTCTTGAACGGTTTCTATCAGAAACAAGACTGTGTCTTGTTAGTTCTACAACTCTAAAAAAATTGTCACGTGATATTTTAGTGATAGAAAACAAAATAACCCGAGAAATGGTAATGGATGCCGCCTTATATAAGTCTATTGGACGTCAACATGGTAAAAGTTTGAAGGCAGCCGTTCATAGAAGTTGTAGTGGCTTAATAAATGTTGCAGTCACAAGTACACTACAAGGAAATTTTAGTTATTTTTCATTTCAACCTGAATTTAAATGGTTAAACCTACCACAATGTCAGTATCTGTTGCATTGCACTTCTGTAAAATTAATTGCTTATCAGACATATTTTATTGCAGTCGGTGATTTAGGTCAGACAAGCAGCATATGCGCATTTGATCAAAATGAATGGCGTGAACTCATGAAACTACCAGGTCACGGATGGCTCGGTGTGGCTGTTGAAGAATTTATCTATTTTCTTCATTCTACTGATCAACAAATTAAAAGATCTGATCCAAGACGTTGGAAGTGTTTACTTGAAAACTTGATTTGCTTCCCCAAAAAGGATAAAATAGAACATGTCTGTTCATTTGATTTGTCCATACTTGTGTTTTGTTCAGTGGTTATAAAAGGCGTTGACGAGACAGCTGTACATTGCTTTGACACCAGATCTCAAGCATGGACAAGGCTCGATAGCCTGGGCGGATCAGCCAAAAATATGCATAGTTTCAACAAAGAGAATCAATTATATATTCTTCAAGCTAACGGCAATCTTTGGGAAATTAACAGCGATGAGATGAATGGCGTCCATTTCAAGTTGGTTGAAGTTCTTTGGCAGGGCACATCCAATATGTTTGGCGTCATCTATATAGACAAGTACCTTTGCTTTAGTTTTTGTAAAGATTATAAGAATGATGTAGCTTCGTCAGTAACTTCAAAACTGTTTGGTGAAACTGAAGCGATCTTTAGAACAGGTGATGGTCTCCCATGGTCTAATGTTGTACCCGCTGTCGTAAAGTCACTTGCTAGTTAATAAATTGCCTTGAGATGTCATAGACATAGAATTATATAATTTCATTCAGTTATTTACGTCGACACCAGAACATGACATAAAATGTGTGGCTGTAGTTTAAACAACGGTGATGACAATGAAAAAAAATCAACACTGGCATCCTAAGTACTTATGACGTGTCAATTTACCCTCAACACACTTCAAACTTCTTACTCCTACCCACTTTATCTGAACAATTTCCATAACATTTACTTTCTCTCTCCCCCAACCCTCGCTATCTCTATCTTCTATCTACTTTCTCTGAAACAATATACTCTCCTTGCAAATTAACCCTCAAATTAACCCTTTCCGCACTTTCTCTGCTTCTCTCACTCTCTCGCTCCTCTTGTCTCCTAACAAGTTTCTGCTAACACATTCCATAACATCAATTAATCCCGCCATACTGATTGCCACAACATTTTCATCCCTTCACTCTCCTATATCAAATACACTTAAGTGCCCAAAATAAAAAAATAAATAATTAATATTAGTAAATTACATTAAAACAAATTCTTTAGACAGAGTGGTTGTCGTATTAGATGTCTTATAAGGTAAAAAAAGTTATGATCTGATGGTTAATTATTTTATGAATCCATTTCATCTGTTAGTATTAAGGAGGGACAGAAAGAAATCTATGTGAACAAGTGGTGTAAATGAAAGCTATGTTAGTGTTTAGGCAGAACAAGTCAGGGAGTGATCGAGATCGTAATAGTATTCATTCCTTATTGATGTTTGTAGTTTCGTGATAAATTTTTAGCCATTGCTAGGTAAGTGGAGATAACTCTATCATATTACAAATGTATTCTATCTAATGAACGTTTATTGCTCCTGTCGGCATTTACAATGGACTCATGATAGGAAAGCTATTCTCAACATTTTAGTCCCGCGACCCATTGAAAGCAAGTGTTAAGATGTATCGACCCACCACCAGAATTTATGCCACACATTCATAAATTGGTGTAGAGAATTTAATGGTAATATATTTATTAATATGATATAATTTATAGTTTTTATACTGACCTGACATTTTTTTATATTAAATCATGATATTTTAAAGTGTATCGATTTGATATATATAATTCTGTTTAAATGAAGTGTATAACTTTAAATTTGTTTTGAACAAAATTTTAACAAAAATTAAATTTACGCAAAGTCGCCGGGAGCTGCCAGTTTAAAGCAGAGAAAAACAACAAGAAAAGAAAACAATAAAGGAAAATGATAATTAAATTAAAATTAAATATACTAAATGACCTTTTTAAAAATTGCAAATAAATGAAAAACATCGGCACAAGACACACTTTCTTGGGCTCTAGACACTGGAATACCTAAAAATAAGCCAAAACAAATTCAGAAATATCAGACATACTTTTGTGGCAAGGCCCTCGATGGTTAAGGGAATAAATCCCTAAAGACGTGTCGATGTGACATGGAACTCAATTCATGAACGGAAACTCCCGGTTTTGCACAGCTGCATAGGTGATGTGGCGTTTCCTTTGATCTATGTGGAAAGTGGAGGCGCAGGGTGTTTGAAACAGATCTAAGTCTTTGCCAACAGACGATTGTGTCATAAAAAATGTAGTTTACCTAGAGAGATTAATAGCAAGATTACATAACATTTTCTCGATGCAGCATTACCAATACCTTCCACCCAAACATATGCAGGTTTGCCACACATTAATTATTTTATAACATCGTCCGAGGCATATAATTGGTATCAACAAATAGCTCAAATCTTGAACACGTATCTGATTATCATTATCTAATGTAAAAGATTCTCATTTGTTAATTTATTCTGAATTTTCACATTTGTTTAAATAAATGTATATATAAAAATGTTTTCACAGATATAGGTATGGATATAAGAGAGATAAGTAATATGGGAGTTAATACTTATAGAATATACAGAGTTTCGGGTCTTAGAAGAATCTGGCCAATCAGAGTGAGAGCAGAGAGTAAGACAAGATTGAAGTGGAATAAAATGGTTGTTTGAATTCACAAAGTTTATTAAGAAGATTGGTAATACATTTATAAGTTTAAGAAGTAAATAAGATTATCCAGAGATGCTAGTAATTGAAGTATTGAGATTATGATATTAGTTCCAAGTATATTCGGATACTCATATGTTTTATTTCATATTGTGAATGTCAATGAACGTGTATACTAAAATAGTCCCTGTTATTTGAACCACTTCGTCTCTGGTATTATTTACAAGAGATTGTGATTGTGACAAATGTTTACATGTTATATTTCAAATACCTAGTTTTAGATGTAACTCTAAAAATTATATTTGTCAACTTAATTCTATATATGGATGTGTGTAAATCTAATTTTAAACGTTTATATGCTCATATGTAAATTTGTTGATCTAATAATATCACCAACATTTCATTTTGACGAGCCATTTTTTTTTTTAGATTTCATATTTCTTATCTAACTCACAATGTTCATTTGCATTAATCTAATTTAAAAATTGATATTTATTGATCTTATTCGTTAATATTCAAATTGTTACTTTTCGTTCTATTTATCCACATCATTCGTAGCAATCAATCACCATATAAATATTCATATTTATCTATCTCATTCTTATTATTCTTAATTTGTATCCATGTAGCATTTGGTTCACCTGTTAATAAAACTGAATTTTTAATTTAAAAATTAACAAATAACTTTTGTTAAATCATATAATTTCTTAAATAACCTACTTTTTCTTAGCATATTCTGAAATGTCATTTTTTTGTAAACCTCAGCATCTATATTCTTAGAGATCATATTCGTTCATTTTTTTTTTAAAATTATAGGCTTACATTTTTTAGCATCTAAGTCTAGTAATTCACAGACATAATACATAATTTTTAAACACATTCTCAGAGTTTTTGTTCGTAAACTAATTATAAACATAATAATTTTGTATATCTATTTTGACCAATATGTGCTTCTAACATAAATTATAAATAACTTTTCTTTGTAAAATGACTAAGTCCATTGATTTGATATTTTAAAAGATTTTGTTTCTAAACCTAAATAAAACAGCATTTACCGGAAATGTGATCGAAAAAAATTCCGTCGACGGTAAATTGATTGACGGAAATTTGATCGAACGGAACTTTGGTCGAATCTATCTTTCATTCCACACGTAAAAATTTTGTAAAAATATAATAAAACAAATATATATGAGACAGCGAACAAATTAAGCTCGAATTTGATTTCGTCACATTTTTTAGATTTTGTCAAGAAAAATTATGAACAAATCATTAAAACTGGCACAATTGTTTTCTTCGGGAAAACGATTTACTTAACGTAGTAAAAAGTCAAGACCTGGTCGTATCTTATGAAGATGTTGTCATTGAGTCTATTACAAGTTGGGTTTACAATTGATGTCTAATTAAATCTGTATTTTTGCATAGCGAAATGAATAAGAACTCATTCAGTTTTCGAACTGGCGAAGAGGAAGAGAAGAAACGAGAAGAAGAAGAACATAAAGAAAAAGTAGAGAAAAATGTGTTGGATGTAGTTTAAAAACCGGTCTTTGTCTCTCCTACTCCTTTCTCTGATCACATTCTTTAACACACATTTCATAACTACTCTTCCTCCCCTACCCCTCTCTTTCTCTCTCTATCACACTTTCTGGTTATCACTCTTTTTCTGTCGCTCTCTGTCTCCCACCCATTTTCTCTGAACTCATTCCATTAAATCCACTATCTTATCATACGCACTGTCACAAACCTCTCAGTCCCTAAACTCACACTGCCGTATCATAGATTGTAACTGGCCTCATGAAAGTAAAATGTTTTTTCAAAGCGACTTCTGCCTGCGTGGTTCTTGTATTATTTTTTTAACAACGATGTTATAATATAATCATGACTGGATAGTTAATTTATTTTATGAATGTATTTAATCTGTTTTTTTCTGAAAATGTACGGAAAGAAATCTACGTCAGGACGTGGTATAAATAAAAGCTATGGTAGTTTAAAGACAGGGCGATTCAGGGAATGAAAGAGAAATAAATAATTATATTCATTCTTCATTATGTACGTAGTTTGGGGATTTTTGCTGGAAAGTGCAAAGTAAGTTATGCTAAACATCCTTGGTGTTAAGAATTTCATGGGTTTTCATTTCAATAGGTTTACTAATATTGTATTGTTAAGTTAAATTTTTTTTTTTTAATAATCTGACTTTTTTTTTTACATTACATGACTGTTTCAATACAATCTATTTTTAGCATTTAGGGATTATTTAATTTTAAATGTGTATTAAGCAAAGAAAAGAATAACACCTAACACAGCACAATTGAAAACTACCTCTTTAAATGTAAAAACAGTTACAAAGAAAGCAAATATAAACAATAAATAAATAACATCCAAATTATATATAGTGAAAACAATTTAAAAAAAAAGAAAAAATAAAAAATAAAAAAAAAAAATACAAATTAAATATAGTGAATTAAATATTTAAAAAAAAAAAAAACGAAAAGAAATGATAAAATGGACACCAGACACGCTTTCTTCGGGCATAACCACAGGAATACAAGAAAGCTAATTAACAAAAATTCAAGATAGATCAGAACTACTCGATGTGGACGTGGACAAGACTCTCTTTGGTTAGTTTTAAAGTAAAAGATCTCAAAAGGCAAGTCAAGCGATGGAGTTGGTCAAACAATGACCTCAAAACATGAACGGCAACTCCCGGTACTGAACAACTGCATCGTTCATTAGGCGTTCCCCTTGACCTAA